ACATTTGGACAGTGAAGGAATGTCAGGATTCTTGTTCAGAAAAAGGATCAACATGCTCTGAAGTCAGAGCACAAAAACCTTTTTTGTAACAAAATATCGATTTCTGCTGTCCCTGTATCCATACATTATTAGCAAACAAAATATCACCATGCTACACAGTATCGATTTTTCCCCCCACCCCTAATTATTTCTACGTTCTGAGTTTTTCTAGCCACCAAAATAAGTCGGCATGAAAATAACATGAATTCTCTACAAACGTAAACACACATTTACCTGTACGCTAAAGTACAGTCCCATTTAAACTTCAGTTTATATCTCAGCAACACAACACGCAGACGCTTAAACTGCACTTTCCTCATGGAAACACCAAAAAACACATTAAATTTCATGTGTCACGCTGTCTCATCTTGGATAGACAGACACTTGCTTTTCTGTGATATAGCTGGAAGGTGTAGAGAGGAAATAATTCCTTAAACTCCTAGGACCTGGCGTCCACATATGTGGGCATCACATTTTGGGTTATTTAGACCAAAATACTCAATTTTGCTCTACAACGGCCTGATATCCACATACGAGGACATTATACTGCTACTGTTCTATCGAAATGATAAACGAATATCCTGATATGTGGCTCTCATTTTTCTTAGAAACAAAAATTAGGTAAAAAAAAAATCTGTTAATTCTTTGTTTTTACATTTATCGGGCCACAATATGTCCAAATATCAAAGAGAAATTAAAAATGCATGCTGTGGGTTATTCTTCCCTGGGAAAGAATAAACACAAAACGTCGTCAGCTGTCTGAACTGGTGCGAAATCTGTTCACGGCTCATAAACAGGCCACTTACAGTATGTTAGTCATCATAAAGGTGGCAGCAGATGAAACCATTATTTTAATAGCGGAGCATAATCTGACAGAATTAACAGACGCCTGCGCTGACTGCATCTGAAGCAGCTGCAGGGACGTTTCACTCTGATGGAAAACGGAAACATGTTGGTTTAAAAGTGCTGAGGTGTGTAAAATAAACACGCGGTCACAGTCCTAAACACTTCCAGGTCATGGGGGTGCCGATGTAACTCACCGGGCTGACCTGATAATGAATAAGCCATAATGCTAATACTGAGGCCAATCATGAGCGAGCCTAATGCAATAAAGGCTAAAAGCACAAAAACTATATTTTAAAAGCAAAAAAACTTTTCCAGGTGAAACTAAGAGAGAGAGCCAGAGCTTACGAAGAGGCAGAGCTACGAGTTAGTGAGAGCTACGCTGAAGCTCAACACGAGGACGCCCAGCGTTTAGAGTCTGCTCGAAGGGAGCGTGTCCAAGGAAATATGGGCGTTACTGGGGTGGTTATTTTAAAGATGATCTGATGATCCTCTAATCGCCTGAGCCAAGGTGTGAAACTGGGTGTGGGTCCCAATCAGCCAGAGTTTCGGGTGAGTTCATTGTGAAACCTGGCCCCACCTTATCATGTGATTTCCTGAGGTCAGATGGCCCAGGATGTGAGTGGGCGTTAAGGCGTCTGGAAGGGATCTCAAAACTGGATTATAGATGGCAGAGAGTTGGTGTCGTAAACCACCGCCTCTGTTCAAAGATGGTCGCTCACAGTGGACATAGATGCTTCTTTCACTCCTCTTTCAAACCATCTGTCCTCTCTGTCCAAAATGTGAACATTGGCATCCTCGAAAGAGTGACCTTTGTCCTTTAGATGCAGATGGACAGCTGAGTCTTGTCCTGTGGAGGTGGCTCTTCTGTGTTGTGCCATGCGCTTGTGAAGTGGCTGTTTGGTCTCTCCAATGTGGAGGTCTGGGCATTCCTCGCTGCACTGTACGGCATACACCACATTGTTTTGTCAGACAAAACGCCAAACCAACTGTCTGCCATCTATAATCCAGTTTTGAGTTCCCTTCCCAGACGCCTTAACGCCCACTCACATCCTGGGCCATCTGACCTCAGGAATTCACATGATAAGGTGGGGCCAGGTTTCACAATGAGCTCACCTGAAACTCTGGCTGATTGGGACCCACACCCAGTTCCACACCTTGGCTCAGGCGATTAGAGGATCATCAGGGGGTCCTTTTGTCCCTCTGTGGGGGGAAACTCCCACTAGGTTTAAATCTGGGTCTCTCCACCTTTTGACCTTAGAATTGAAGAAGCTTCTCGGATGAGAGGTGAAACGTCTTCAAGCAACTTAAAGAAGTCCAGACGCTTTTCTTTGCAAGCTCCTTTGACTACGATGACCTGGATGACTGAGAACCTTCACAGACATACAGAATCATCATGAGTCAAATCTGATTTCATATGCAAAGTTAACACATTACAGTTTCTATAGGGGCTCAGTTCAAAGTACCAACACGAGCAGCGTCTCAGATCCTCCCACCCTGAGCCAAGAAACACAACAGTCTACATTATGGACAAACTGAGCCTACACTCACCTACATATCACCTATAATAACAGCTACTACACAGCAGCAAACCTCTACTGCAACACCACCTCGGTTCAGCTGTTGGCTGGCTCTGTGGAGGCAGAGGGCAGGTTTATCTCCACCTTCACCATTAAAAACGCTTCCTTCAGGTTTCTGTTCAGAACTCTTTGAGCACCTCGTCGCTCTTTCATGACGTCTCTGTCCAAAGTCCAGCCCGAGGACAGCCAGATGCTGTGAGCATCCTTCGCTCATTAAAGAGTGAGACCTTACCGGTGGTAGAACATCCGAGCCATCCCCATCCGCTGCTTCTCTCCTCCAGACAGAACGTCTTTCCAGTCATTGACCGACTCCCAACCTGAGAAGCACATACACAGGTGTCGCCACAGCAGCACTGCATTACAACAGCTACAGATGATCCCAGTTAAACGACATTTACAATTGCGTGTGTCCATGCACCTGCAGACTGACGCTTTATGAATCCGAGCCCATAGGGAAATGTGCAAAATTCCCCCCCCCCCACAGTCTTCTGGTAGCGCTGATGTACACATGATGTGGCTCAAGTGTACGTGTAACACAACTAATTCAGTATTTACATGTTTACAGCGATCAAACTGATTGATTCCCACTCTCTAAGACATCTTTTTATACGTTTTTCTAGACTTTTTTTACAACTAATGATAGATATGTTCATTCATTAACTTGATTCAGGTGAAGTGAAAAGCTCTCTCTGTATTTTCATGTTTAATACTGCTGACAGGCGAGCCGGTCTTTCCTGAATCCTGCCACCTGACACATCCTGCAGCTGCTGCGAGCTCTCAAACGGACTGCGAGTGTCAGTCAAACAGTCGAGCACCCTTCACGGCAGGCTGGGGACGGAGCACTGATTAAATATTTAGCAGAATTTGATTTGAGCATTCAAACCGGTTTGAATGTTTGTGATGGAGCGGTTCTCAAAAGGAAGTGTCATATGAAGTGAAATGAGGTCGCGGCACCATTAGATGTGAAATGACTCCTCATAATTAATTCTCGGTTCAATCACCGCCTCACAATCTGCCTCACGAGTTTCCCGTCTTCTATGTTTGTTTGTGTAGTTGAGTCTGAGTTGCTGTGGAGGTTTTTCTGCCTGTTTACTCCAAACAAAGCGCAGAGCGCAGCTAAACGCACTCGGACTGACCTCCCTCTCGGTCCATGATGTAGCGCAGGTGGACGGTGCGAAGGATCTCCTCCAGGTCTGAATCTGTGAGTCCTCTCTGAACCATCTCCTCCACTGAGTCCGGATAGATCACCTGGTCTCTGAGGGTCCCCTCTGACATGTAAGGCCTGCAAACCACACAGAACAGGAAACCACAACTGCTGTCGATCTAGGGCCTTCACTTTGTAAAACACCAACAAATGGTTGTTGGTGGTAATTGGAACCATATAAATATAAAGTGCTGAACTGAATTTGGCACTAGTAGTAGTAGTAGTAGTGTTACCTCTGTGGGATATAGAACATGTGCTCTGGCTCCGGTCTGTACAGGACTCCTCCATAAACAGGCCACAGCCCACTGAGGATCCTGAACAGGGAACTCTTCCCACAGCCGTTTGGACCGGTGATCAGCACGTTCATCCCATCGTCCACCTGAGACACACAGAGAGACAAATCCACAGGATTGGACTCGTTCCTGGAAAGGTGTCTCCAAGTCTTTACAGAACATATGTGCACAGAAGCCTGTACTGCAACGCATGATTTAGGAGTTAAAGATGTGAGATTACACCCAGCTTTTAAATGTGACAAAGGGGTTTACTGAAGCCAGGCCCGCACAGCCATGAGAACATGGTTTGGACTTGACCTGCTCTGAGAAAACAGCTCAGCAGATGAATGTCTGCAGAGAGCATCTAAAGGCTGTTGAACATGAATGGAAAAAAAGTTCTCATTGTTTCCTGTAGCTGTGTACTCCAGATACTAATTAAAGCACTAAAACTTTGCACTTGTTGGCACTAAACTTGTAAATAACCCTTCTCACTGGCTTGTATTCAGTTATTATTTGTTCTTTACTTGTTCTCCACACTGTTTAACACCACCAGGCTGCAGCTGAAAGAACGAGGCTACGGCTAATACGCCTGTTAGCAACAGCAACAGATTCATTCAGCAGGCTGTGGTGGTAAATACAGTCGGATCGACCTTGTCTTAAAGATGAGGCGATGTTTTAAAAGTCTTTTTTTCTTTGTTTTTACTGATTAACTAAT